ATATATATATATATATATATATATATATATATATATATATATATATATATATATTATCTGTAGTAATTCTATTTCTACTCCCTCCCATTCGAACATCCTTACATGGCACATTTCCTCCTACGCCTAAGCGAAACCGCAGTGTTCCTAGTGCTCATCGGTCAACTACAAGTGATTTAAATATTCGAACTTGCCGCCGCGCGATGCAGAACGAGGTTCCCCAGAGTCGGCAGCATCTAGAGATCCAGGATGTGCCGATCCACGTAAGCCACGAGAGCGCCATCCAGGGGTGCAAAGAGCAACCGCGCGGTGGACGACCACTGGTAAGTCATTATCTACATTGGATGCTTTCCAATTGCTTAACACATCTTGACACACACACAACCAGTTTATTGGTCACATATTATCTAAAATATCTTGTAAGATAATATGCAACCAATAAATTGGTTTTGTGTAACACAGTGTACGCAACTAGAAAGCACCTATTATTTCTATACGCGCAAAACTACGATTAACGCCTGCAACTGTCCGACCCACCGAAAGGGTTATACTACGCGTTTTGCGCGAAATCCATCGCGATTACTCTTGATCGCACGGATTCCCGGGTAGAATCACGCGACTCGTTTGGCCTGAAAAATTACGATCCGATCCCGTGCTAGGATTCGAGCGCTATTCTTCACGGCAGCGTGGCCGCAACCCGCCGGGACGTAACAGTAAGCTCGCACCAAGTTGATCCATCAGTATTTACATCGTGTGTATTAAATATTTAGTACGAATTTGATACGAATATAGTATCTGATACGCGTATCAAGTGCATGATGTAAACCAAGCCATTGCAGACGACGCATAAAGTTTATTACACCTATTGTAGATCGGGACTAAAGCCAGCAGTACACGGTACTTGTTTTCATACTGGATTGCTTGCTGATTGGTGCATTTCTGTGATGGATAGATGGAAATAAATCAATGGTAGCGTTCAGAAAACATAGCTGATCAGTGAGCGGTCCTTACTGTTAAATCTCTAACTTTAGACCAATTACATTGACGAATTGCTCAACTGTTGTGCAACTGTTGAGTTCGTTGAACGCACCCAATCAAAACAGAGTGGGTGCTTTTCAATTGCTTAACACATCTTGACACACACGTATACAACACCAGTTTATTAGCATGTTCGACTGGCTCTGGGTTAACCCACTCTGGGTTATTCAGCTTACGTTTATTGGTCGAACAAATACTTATAAGCTTTATGATTGGTTTAGTAGAGACTTATGACGTCATTAATCGCTCTCGGAGCGATTAACCCAGGGCTAGTCGAACACGCTATATTAGTCACATATTATCTAAAATATCTTGTAAGATAATATGCAATCAATAAACTAGTTTTGTGTAACACAGTGTACGCAATTAGAAAGCACTCATAATTTCTATCCAGGCTGCGTTCAGATTCCCTACCCAGGTGCATTCTAATACTAAAAGTGCTATAGTATATATGACATATACTATAGTGTTTCTAGTAATAGAATACACCCGGGTAGGGAATTTGAACGCACCCCAGGCGTGTGTTCGAAAACTCTATCCGGGTGCACTCGCTGCATTGGAGTGAGAAAGTTACACGAGTGAGATAAAGAGAGAGGAGAAGCACCCAGGTGAAGTTTTCGAACGCGCCTAGCAAGCAATCCAACACGAAAACAAGCACCGTGTGCCGCTTGCTTTAACTTATTGCACCAGTGTACACCTACTCAAAAAGTTCTTCGAGAAAGAGCAGACTGTGAAAGAGTTTCCCGCGTATAGTATCATGTATATTAAAAATATAAACAATCTCATATGTTAAATTATTCCCGGTATTGATATAGAGTAAAATGAATATAGTAAATACCGTCCAGAAACGAGAAGAAGGATTTGGTAACTAAATAAAATATAAATGTTATAAAAAATTTAAATAAATGCTCGTTTTTTTAAATAACATGAAGCTGTCTATATCATAGTAGCTGCTTAAATTAATTGCACAGTATTGGGAGATTAGAATTATATTTTTTTTATAATACGATATTTGCATTTTTTACAGCCAATTCCATGATGAGCTTTAAGAATATGATAGATAGTGTAATTTTACTGAAGTGTTTAATTCTTCTTTATAGAATCTATACGTGATTATGATATTCCTTTGTATCGTTTGACATGCTGGTACAATGATCTACATCATGGAATAGCATCGAATACACGCAGATCTGATACTGATTCTGAGCCACCAGTGTTTGCATGCCGTTTTTCTACCAAGCCAGGATATGAAGAAATTTTGGGTTTGGCTAATGAAGAGGGGCAAATTGCTCTTCAAGATACAACAATCAAAGGACGAAATAATGTACCATTAGATGGAGTACAGGTATTGTTTATTTTCATGGAATGAAACTTTTCTGGGATTAACAGAATAATGTAATGGTCTTTGATTATTAAGAACAAACAACACACACACACAGATTTTATCGCTATTTTCTTTATATATTGGTAATGAGTTATATATATTGATGACAAGTTTATTTTGATAATAAATTGCTAATACAAAGCATCATCTGATGTTTATTTTACAAAGAGTACAAAAGAGTACAAAATTTATATTGATATTGAAGTATTACAAAGAGTATAAAATTTATATTGATATTGAAGTATGCAAAAATATTAACTAAAAATATGCTATTTTTTTAGGCACATGCAAATGCAATCTTTGATCTTGCTTGGATGCCTGGGGAATTGAAGCTAGTCACAGTAGCAGGAGATCACACAGCACGCCTATGGGACGTCAGTATGTTTGGAAGATCACAAACAAAAGAATTGTGCTGCTACAGTTCTCATACAAGAAGTGTAAAAACTGTAGCATTTCGTTACCAGGATAAAGGTAGATGTGTTGCAAAGCTTTATCAATTTTGATTGTTATTTATATAATTTCTTATATTTTACTTATAAAAACAATATGATGGATTTTTCCATGAAAAAAAAATCTAATTTATAATAAAATTTAAGTTTAGTTGTTTGTAACTTGAAATCTTTCAATATCTTTTACCAATTTTAGCGGTTTTTGCAACGGGTGCCAGGGATGGTGTGATTATGATATGGGATATTAGAGCTAAACACTTACATCAGCCAAGACCAGATAATTGCATTATGTATGGACATCCTAATGGTAGCACATTTAAAAAGAGACGAAAGTTGCTGCAACCATCACGATCACAAAGCATAACAGGTTTAATATTTCAGGATGATTTTACGTTAATCTCGTGTGCTGCAGGTGATGGGTAAGATTGTTATTATACTCGAGGATACAAGAAAGTCTCTAATTATAAATGCATTTTCTTTGATCTGCGGATTATTCGAACAGAGTAAAGACCAGTTTGCACCAGCAGTAACATTGCTAATAATGTGTGTTTCTAGCAGTGTTACTGACAAATGTGGATTATTTCATTTAAAATTGATGAAAACAATTGTTTCCAATAAGTTACAAAACAAGTTAATCACATTGTGCTATTAAGTTCGTTATTTTAGAATGAAAAATGATAATAACATTTGTTTTCGACATTTTGCGGAAAACTAACATTGATTATTTCTTTTAATAACGTGCTAATAACCTTTGTCTCATTAACATTATTAAAAACATTATTTCTGCAATCTATAATTTTACAATCTGGATCTAAAGATGTTATAAACAAATATTATTAGTAGAAAATTGAACTAGATATATTTTAGCAACTCTGATAACAAAAGTTTGATCTTAACTAATCGTGCTATAAAAATTGCCAAATTTATGTATAGGATATTGCTAATAGTAGTATTATTTATTTGTTTAAAGTTTTCCAATATTGTTGACAACATTTCAGAATATCATTGTTTGACTCATAATATTGCAATGTAAACAATGTTAGTAAATAATTTTTCTAATTTTGTCAGTGACGTTTGTGTTTTCCACATTGTTAAAAGCATATTTTGTTAGAAACATTCAGTAAATTATTTTCTGGAGAACATAGTTTTGCTGTAAATTGTTATTAACATTTGTTATTAATATTGTTTCTGTAACTTTTTCGGTGTAAACCGGCCTTTATATGTTTCAAATATATCAGAGTGAAAATGTGAGATACAGTATTATATCTTAAAAGTCTTGGATCTTTACATATAAATATTTGAGTGGCATAACTTTGTTACACACAGCTTCATTAAAATATGGGATATACGTAAGAACTACACGGTCCATAAGAGAGAACCGATTGCTAAGCATCAAATTAAATATGCTGGGAATAGTTCCAGAAACGGTTTCTCTTCGTTGTCATTATGCCCAGGCAGGATTACGTTATTCGCAAGTTGCATGGACCATGTTATATATGCTTATAACTTATCGTCATATAGTCATGAACCTTGTAAATATTTTCTCTTTGAAATAAGAAAGATTATATAATTCATGTCGGGGCGAGATAAAATTTAAAAAATTTTCCTCCATGATAGTAGGAACGTACTATGGCCATCAAAATCATACGTATTATGTGAAGACTTGTTTGAGCGCTGACGGTCGCTACCTTGCCAGCGGATCTAGCGACAATCTTGCATACATTTGGCGTATCAACAAACCGGGTAGACCGTTAATCAAACTCTCCGGCCACAGGGAAGAAGTCACTTGTATTTCCTGGTGCAGCGTGGGTGATTTAAAGGTTTCAATAATACTTTATTATTATTTAATGTACACATTATAATGGCTGTAAAGCTCCATATTTGTCTAATCTTGAGAATGTTCTCAGATAGTGACTTGCTCAGATGATTCTTGCCATAGAATATGGAGGGTTGGATACGAACATAAAGTAGAAAATGAAGAAGTGGAAATATGCGGTCGGGCTCAACCCGTAACGGAAGAAAATATCTATACGAAGAGAATAGAAACTCCTTCAACTAATACTCGATATTGTGACAGAACACCGAGCTCGAGTAATAATTCATGTAAGGATAAAGCTATGTTGTTGTAAAAAGTTAAAAAAAAAAGTATGAGATTGGTGCAAAAGATTGATCGTTTTTCTATTAAATTCTTGTAAGAATGAAGGTTTGAATATTTAAAAAAATATAGGAAATCTTTCTCTTGTTAAATGTGAAAAATATAAAGTCCATGTTATTTATTTTATTCGTATCAAATACTAATTCTTCGAAATTGAATAATTTTGTTATCTATTTTATTTGATAGACACAAATTTTTTGTACCAATCAAGAGCAAACGGCAAGAGAATATCGTATTCTTAGATATATATTTAAACTTCACAGTTGCCATTCCTGGGCCTAGCAATGAACATAACGCCAATCGTCATGAAGAAGATCAGAATACACCTAAAACAAATACTATGAAACGTAGCTACTCTCAAATGATGGTAAGAGCGAGATCCGAGGGAAAATCAAAATTTGTTTTATCTCCTATCGGTGAGAACAGCGAAGTGATTGCAAAACAAATGCGCATAGAACACCGCGGTGCCCGAAGATTATTATTCGGTACAGGCACCGAGGACATTCCTAGTTCAAGCAAGAATTATGATTCGGACGAGTCTCACGCAAGTGAGTCTACATCCGCGAACGATAGAAATACAGAGATCCTTCCCTCGCCTACGGTGAACTTGCCGAACTTTGTAATGGATGGGACAGCGCCACACTTGTCTCAGATGTCACCGCAAAAGCAGAAAGAGAACGTCGATTGGTTAACGAAAATTAGAAAAGAGAAGTACGAACAGAAGATCGGTAAATTCACTCTTGGAAGATCGTCCAGTCCTAAGAGCCAAGCAACACCCGCTCGAAGGATCGTGAGGTCGCGATCACATGATCCTCAAAAAGAATCAAAAGCGACAAATAATTCGGTGTTCTCTCTATTAGATTTTTTCAAAGCTCTTAATAGCGACTGCGGAAAAAATCCTTCCACCGAAGATAGTAGTGATATACCTTCCACAAGTGACAATAAAAGTAGACACTGAATTGCGATAAATGTTTGCAGATCGATTCGGAGATACTGAGATGGTTTGTACATAAAACTTGTTCACTTCAGATTTCTGGTCCATTGCTGATTCTTTATATAATTTCATATTCCCGGTATTATAATTCCTTTACAATTAAACAAAAGAAGCTTTACTTTAAAATATGCTCCAAAATTTTCTAATGGCGTCACGTTAATAGTCAAAGAAAATTATATATATTTTATATATACATGTCCCGTCACTACTGCATTATCTCTTAAGGGCGGATTTCTGAGGTAATTTGAATAAAAAAATCCTAATACAAAAATGGCGAGGCTACTTTTCAAATTAAAGTTGACCAATTATACTGGTTAAAGTACGCACACTCAAGTACGGTACAACACACAATAGTGCAGATATATGCACATGTCGTTCCTTTTCCAAATATTGATACGAAAATTCTATACATACAACAATATATGTAATAATAATCTGTCTTTTCTATCATTTAAATAAACATCGCAAATAATAACAATTTCATCAAAATGTTATGAATAAAATATCACACAATACATTTATGAGAATCAGTAAGCTGTCACACATTTGACGTTTCTTTGAGGGATTTACAACTAATTTCATATCTTATACAAATTCTCACTTATGTGCATACATCTGTACCATTGTGTGTTGTACCGTACCTGAGCGCGCGTACTTTAGCCAATTGGTCAACTTTAATCGTTTATAATTTGAAAAATATTCTAGCTTCGACATTTTTGCATTAGGATTTTTTTCTTCAAATTACCTCAGGAATCCGTCCTTAAGAGATAATGCGGTAGTGACGGGACATCCTGTGTATGTGTGTGTATATATATATATTATAAAAAATTTAGATATTCAGGGTGTTTCTGATTTTTAATACAAATTTTAGTTGACGTGTGCAGGTGGAGCATATTAAACTAAATGAAAAAAGTTCTATCCCATTTTTTGTATGTTGCTTTCTTGTTGTCGGTTTGAAGCGTTCTACTTGCATACAGTGAGTGTGGTCAATTCAATTCAGACATTCTATATATTAATTATTTCCACAGATAAAGTCGTAAAGACTCTGATATATAATTGATGGAATTGAGAGTTCAATTAAGAGGCGAGAAAAAATAGTAGCTTACATAATTATATAATTAATCTTGTAATAGTCTTAAAAAGATTTAACTTGCTCCTCCTGTACAATAATGAGCACATATTTCATTCAATTCATATTCATCTAGGCACTTTTGAATGCCTGTATGAATTCTATGAATTATATCAAATAATTTTATGAAAAGACTAGCTTATATAAAAATTGTTAAAAAGTAATAGGATGATTCTATTTCTATTTACAATGTGATAAAAAGTTCAGAAGAAGATATTAGAACTTAGTATTATCTACTATAATTTACCTTGTACACTTTTTAAAATCAATATTTATGCAAAGATAATTTGATTAAATATGATCAAATTTCTAACGTAAATAACGCAGGGATCTTTATTAAATTTAATATAAATTGAGAATTGTAGTCAAAATATCTTTTTGTACAATAAATTATATTTTTATAGAAAATACGTTTATGTATATCGAATTAAATGATTTTACATAAAACCTGGATTCACTGTGTTCTTTCTTATTTTTCATCGCGGTTAGATAAAAATCTTCGTATTTATATAATCCGAATATTATCATTATGTGAATATTAAATGTCATAAAATTATTTTGAATTGCATTAATTTATTTCTTTATATTTTTTACTAACTATTTCCAGGATAAAATATTGTTACAGATTGCGGGAGTAATCTAATTTGAATTGGCTTCAAATCGTATTCTTCGTGATCAATGTAAAATATCCGATTTTCATTCTTCTGAAAAAAAATTGATAAAATTTGTTATATTTATTTTTTTTAATGTTAATAAATATAATAAAATAAATCTTCAACGCGCTTGTTCAAAATATATCTAAAAAAATATATGAACATTTTTAATAATATTTTATAAAAAGGAGATTACTTACTATTTCAGGATATAATTCGATGTATTTTGCATCCAATATTGGATTTACCAGTGATTTGTCGTATTTTTCTTGTTTCCATCCTTCTTCAACAAATGAGATGTAGTCAACATTATTCTGTGCTAAATGTAAAATTCGGAGAATATTATAATTTTATTGTTACATACACAATTCTTTGGAATATTTAAATATTGAATATCTTTGGATTTTATCATTACCAACAGCTACTTTTAACAAAGGTGCTGATTGGACTGGTATGTTTACATTTTCAGTTTTTATGTGTAGTTCGGTTGTCGAAATTGATAACTCATGAAAAGTACCACAGTCTTCGTTTATTACTTTACTATAATCAACATGATTATCTGAAATAAAAATTTCGATCATATCAAAAGATTACACGAGATATTAAAATCATATGTCACAAAGATGTTATTAAAATACATGATGGATTTTTTTATTCTGACATGACAAACTTAGTTTTTTTTTTTTAATTTATCCACATCTTTTATCTTATAGTAATATCCTGTATGTAAATAATGCATTATTTAAGATTTTATAAATATTTTCTTTATACCAGGTACAAATGTCCGTGTCTTTGGTAAAAATGCATTCCACCATCTCCTATTTGACCTTGCAGACTGATCAGAAGATATTTCTCTAGAATAACAGTATGAACATCCTTTGCAAGGATTGGTGTATTTTAGTATTGCATTGCAATTCCAATTTAGGTCTGATTTATAACCACTGAACACGTAAGCTGCATATCTGTTGGTATATAAAAGCTGACAAAAAGAATGTATACAGAACATAAAAAGGAAATTTTCAACTGAAATAATAGACTTTTACTTGCGTAAGAAGCCCCAATACCAATATTTATCAATATGTGCATGTGTATCACTCCATGCTCCCCATTTGATGCTTCCTACAGCATAAACTGGTTTTATGAATTTATCTGAGTTATCCTTGAATTAAAACATGAAAAGATTTTATTATTATTTTATTAATTTAACTTGCAATTAAATAAATAAAAAGTAACAAGGATACGTACTTCTAATACCTTAATCTCAAATGTGTCTATTAATTTAAAATTATTTTTTACTATTGCCATTGTCGCATCAATCATATGATGTATATCAGATAAATCTGTGTATTTTTTAAAAAATTTGCTCGCCATTGTGTTTGTATTTCCCAGTGGCAGAATACCAATAGGACACTGCTTGACGGATTGCAGATTATTCTCATACTTTCTCATTAAGCCAGTGACTACATCTGATAAGGTACCATCTCCACCTGCTACAATAATAGCATCTGTAGGTGTTTCCAGATCAATTATTGCACTGCGTGCATGGCTTCCTGACTGTGTGTTTATGATAGTTACTGCAATACCAGCCAAATGTAGTAAAGGCACACAGTAATTTTCAAAGAGTTTCTTGGCTTTCCTAAACAGAGAAGGAATTAATTGTTGAAAGTTAATAAAGTTTCTGTGTTAATACAGAAATTCTCACATACCTTTTCTTAGCTGCTGGATTTAGAATAATTGTCACATGACGAGGCTTAACATTTGTTGGGCAAGGTACGTCTCCATATTTTGCTGCTTCTTTGCAACATTGTCGCATTAATTGTTCCGTTCTAAAAATGATATGTTCAATTATGTAAGATAATAATTACTCATAAGTACATAAGTTTAACTTCAGAAATGCATTTATAATGTAAAAATAACAAAAAAAATTATAGAGAAACAACCATTAGTAATTGTTATTTATATTTTGCAATTATTTTTATAATTGCAAATACCCACTATAATAAATACTATAATTGGATTTAAGGTTATGTTCCCCATGATTACTTACTCGTATACTTGTTTGCCATATGATACTCCATACGAAAGAGCTGCAGTTACTACTAACGATTTCTTCCAATTATTTCGTATTGTTTTCAGTACAGTTAATGCCTTAGCCATTGTCATTCAAAATTTTTATTCAAAACTGTCAAAGATCTGAAAAATCAAGTAACTGTCAAAAAGCTTCATTCATATAAAGACAATTAATAAAAGCATAATTTGTTTCGATTTCTTTTTAATTCCACGTGCTCATATTTTATTTATCATTTATTCAATGTTCAACAGAACTTTGAATTGTGTGGATTGTTGTTTTAAAATTTAAAGCACTAAATTCGGAATATTGCACAATATTCATTTTGAAATCTGTAAATCCATTATTTTAATATACACTTATATACATTATATTATACTGTTAATACAAAATATATTTATGTTCAGTCAGTTAGGGCGAAAAAAGTAAAAGAACAAAAACTTTAATAAAGCGTAAGCAAAACGTGCATACAAAGGTAGCGTTCCGAAGTTCACTGCCAGTATTGAAAATCTACAGTATACGTAACATAAACTATACATTTTCAGTATGGCAGTGAATATCGGAACACAACCAATTGCTCTGTTCTTTTTAGTTGCACTGCTGAACTAGTGCAATAAGTTAAAGTGAGAAAACATATATGTGTCTCACTTTAACTTATTGCACTAGTTCAGCAGTAGCGAAAAAGAACAGGCCTATCATCCCCTCCACTTTTTGCGAAACTGTCGCTTAATCGCTATGTTTAGCAGAAAAAGCTGCTTTGCAATTGTGTAAAATTTGTGCTCGGATTATTATACGTTGGATGTCGAATGCGGTATGAATCCTGCATAAAATCTGTATCAAATTATGGCTGGTTTACATCGTGCACTTGATACGTGTACTAAATAGTAACTTTTTTTTTAAATAATCTTAATATTGACAATGCATATCAACGATACGCATTCAATCGATACAATATTCTTCTTGATGAATTATACCAGCTTAATAGCGTTGTTTACATACATCATCGTTGTTTATATACATTAAGATTATTTAATAGAAAGTTACTATTTAGTACATATATCAAGTGCACGATGTAAACCAAGCCTTTATATCACTCCGTTGGCCATACTAATTGTATATATAACGTCGTGTGTACGTTCCACAAAGCATTTTATAGTAGAGTTCTGATGGTGAGCATACACATGTAAGTTACATACGTTCTGGCCATTTTAGCAGATAATTTCGTTTTAAGAGTGTGTATAGAGAGACGATAAATTTATGTAACGCGAGCTAATTACGTCGATTTTCGTGATCCCGTCAAATGTCGCGATCTTGTACATGGTCAATACATGCGATTAATCCTCGAGATGAACTGTAACGCTTTTCTTTTTCGTGAGTGCCTAGTTTGCATGTACCAACGATAGCTCTTTAAATCAACAATGATATTATGCGAAACATGCTTCCCAGAGAGGGAATATTAAGTGTCAATTTCTCGCGACATTGAACTATCCCTACTACTCAAAACCATATTAAAACGCACTATCTCGAATCTGTTATAACGTGTTAACATGACCTCATTCCTTTGTAGTAAAATAGATATTTACTAATTCAAGAATATATATACGTATAAGTAATTATATTTTGAAGTGCTATTATAAAAGTATTGTACAATCACAGAGGATGGGTTCTTATGGGTAATATGGTTCTATAGGTAAATATAAATATATGTATGGATAAATATATATGTATGGATATATATATATATATATATATATATATATGTATGCTGTGTTATGTTTTTTAATTGTATGTCAATTTATGTTTTTTAATTTTATTATTGTGTATGTGTAAAATTTGTTGATATATAAATTAGTCTTTATATGCACATTCATACATATATTTATATGCTAATAACATGTATTATATCATTTTTTAGAAAAAAATATATATATATATATATATATATATATATATATATATATTGTGTTTCTAGTTATTTTATAATGAAATTACATTAGAGATTTCATAATAAAATTTGATTTAGTAGAACAATTTTAAAATATTTTTGTAATTTTGTCGATGTCAATCTTTAAGAAAATTTTTCCAAAATAATATATAAAATATCTAAACATATATGGTAAAGAAAACTATATAATATAATCTTGTTATCATCGATTATACTAATGTATATATATAATATTTTTTTGTTTATTTCTTGATTGTAAAAACACTAAAAAATATAAAATCCCTTATTTAATTATAGGAAGAAAGAAGATTGATAGATATCATATAGATTTTATTGATTTTACTGATTTCTATTCATGTTTTATTAGTAGTAATAAATAATAATAAATGTGCTTATAGCTTATGTACATATATTTTTGCTCTACTATATCAAGTATTAAGTATTTATAGATGGCTTATTAAACTAATAGAATATTTTTCAGATATATTTACTATATTTTGTGCAATTACAAGTACTGTTTAAAAGGAAATGAATATTAGCATCTTGGGCTAACAAAAAAGGTGTATTTAATTTTTGTAAAGAACATGGATTCTGAAAGCAAAACACCTGATGTTAGAAATGATTATGAAATGAATCTTCTTGACATGAATAATATTGAAAACAATAAATCCAGTGAGATGCAGTCAGATTCTATGAGTGACGTGGGAACTGTAAATAGTTCTGTTGATTGGTGTGAAAGTAGTATTACTACAAAAGATGCTAGTCTTGTAGCAGAACAAAGTAATAATGTTGTGTCTGAAACTATGCAAAACGAACAGGTGCATAAGTCCATGAAACTTCCTCTACAAGATAATTACCAGGGAATTGAAATTGATACCGATGAATGTGATAAAACTAATAAAATAGAAGAAGTATTGTTTACCACTGTTACTTCAGTTGATGCATCAGAAGCAACTACTTCACAAGACAATACTCCATCTTCCTCCTATGCTAAAGAACCAAATACATTACATACAGATCAAAACAAAGTCAAAAGAGGTACATCGATGGAAACTTTAGGTGACAATTTGGATGAAGATTCAAGTAAACGGCAGAAGTTAAGTGTACACGATGAGGAAAATTTAAATGATGATGCAATAACATTTCAAAAAACTAACTCAAAAATGAGACAGCGAAATTACCGCAAGAGGATAGTAAGTGATAATGAGGAGAGTTCTAGGACTACCGCACATCAAGAGACAGTCAGAGAAGCATCAATAATCGATGCTGATGAAGGTTTATCATTATTATCCAATATAGTAATAGATTTCATAATAGATAACTCTTTAAAAGTTTTTTAGTAATATCTTAAAGATTGGTCTTTGTACTATAAACTGGGGATGTGCCGGATACTGAATTTGCCGGATATCCGATAATCACGTGATACCGGATATCCGGCCGGATACTTGATACTAATTTCTAAAGAAATTTCTATATTAACATTTATATAAGTAATACATAACGTTTACCTATATTTGCCATATAATTTAATACATAGTTGGTCATTAAAATCGATCATAAGATGCAGAATATTTACACCACGTAGCTTACAATGAGACTGTTCCAGTTGCATACAGATTCGATTGCACTCTACCAACCAGTACTCTGCTTTATCCAGTGAATTACTAAACTCAACTAAATCTAACCAATCATTACACTCCGTATCCAATCGGGCTGTGTGCAATTGGGCCTCACCTCTTACAACAGAGTTTTTGTTTCTCTTCTTATGGCTCTTGCAGACCAGTGCGATATGTGACAAGCGATATCCAATTAGAGTACTAGTATTCCGGTAAAACTATACGCTCATTGGATATCGCGTGTCGCATATTGTGTATTGTGCTGGTCTGAGAGAGCGAGTCACACTGGCGGCACTGCTAAGCATTGTTGAAAATAAATTTTCAGAAAGATTGTATATTACAGAGTTGACTTAATAAAAGATGATTAGTTTGTTTGTTCTTAGAGAACTTTGGATTTTGAATCCTGCATTAATGACGCAAACTTTCAAACTTATACTAATAAATTAATATCCGGCTATCCGGCCGGATTGTAAAAAGATGGCCGGATACCGGATAGTTGCTGGATATATCCGACACATCCCTACTATAAACTCTCTTTTATTGATCAATTTGCCTCAAAATATTTGCATTTAATTTGTTATTTCATTTTATAAGCCTTCTGATTGATTTATAAATACATTCAGAAGCACTTTTGTCAATAAAAGAGTGTTCGGAATAAGAATTAATGTTTTTTAGTATGTCTTTTAGAGACTAACATCTATTTTGGGAAGGTCTTTTAGATATATATTGTCTGAATGCTTTGGAGACATCCTATGTTTAAAAGATGTCCTACTTTTATCTATTTTGGACATCTTTTAAATGTCTCTGAGATGTATTTTAGATCTTTATTTTGTGTTTACTTATACGTGCATTACTAAATATTAATTAATATTAATATACAATTAATAATTGTAATTTTAGGTAATGTCGCATCTGCTAGTACTAACAACGAATCGTTTGTTTATAACGAATCGTTAAACAGAACTTCAGAAACTCGCGAAGGAGGCTCAGAAACAAGTAGTGACGGGGCTGATCGAGATGAAAATGAAAGAGGTATTTTGTAACTTTATATGTAACTTTATATTGTTCGTATAATGTTCTTTTTTTTATGAAGTACATAATTGCGATATTTGAATAGGCAATTCGAATGAATGGACAACAGCTAGCGAGGATGAAATGAATGAAGATGAAGAACCTCTCTGTCTCAAAATTGCAAAACCGCAACCTACCTTTCATTTAATACCAGAACTTCTAGGCCGCCAATTAGGTTGCAACCCATCGTTTCACAAAAAATATCATGGTTCTTTAAATGTTGTAGAACGACTTAAACTGCTATACGAACTTAATGAGCACCAGGTACCACTATTATTATTACTATTATTATGTTCAAATGATTTTTTAAATATTTCATTTTGGCGCTAATTGCGCATTGGATCATATCACAAAAGTGACACGTTGAAAATTCTTACGTGCTATTTCCAAACAAAAAATATTTGTGTGAAAGAACATTTCAGATCGTTTAAGCACACTTGTAAAATGTTTCGAAAATGATCCTTTTCGCTCGATAATCAATAAATAACTGTAAAATCATGGAAAAGATAGCTTAAAATTGTTTTTCAAGGAAAAAGGATAGTTTTCGCGGCATTTTACATATATGCTTAAGCGATCAGCAGTTTTCAGCAGTTTTTTCATACAAATATTTTTTACTTGAAAATGGCGTAAGAATTAGGTAAGTAATACATAAGAATTTTGAATACGCATTTTCTTCTGACGTCATCAATTAAGAGTTCCACGATAAACACTCAGAAGCTTTAATATCACATGTTTACTATTATGTTTATTGTTAATAAGTTACTATTTGCTATTATATTTACTATTACATTTATTGTTAATGAATTCATTAAGAGTGTTTCCTCATTCAACAAAAAGAAACTTGGAGGAAAACGTCCGGCATTCGTTACAACATTCACTATTTTTCGGCACTTTTGCTCGGATCTTATCAAATATTAACCAAATGAATAAACAAATAATAAATAATAATTGCTAAATAATTAATAAGTTCCCATAAACTTTAAAACTCCTTATACAAAGTATATTTCACCGCGATCGTCTATATCTTAATATTTGATAATATCTGTGCAAAAGTACCGAAAACAGGTAAAGTGCTGAGTACTAGACGTTTTTCCCTATTTCATGAATAATTTTTTTTTTTTCGGAAAGATTCACTAGGTAACTGATTTTTTTGTATATTATTTATTGATATTCAAAAAATACTCAAATTTTTAAAAGTTTATAAAGTCAATAATACTAGTAATATAATTATGAAAACAAGGAAGTTAAAAAATGTTGCGTAATTGCATTTTTCATGATGGTCAGAAACAGATGAAATTGCGTTTTACTCTTTTTATAAGTGCGGTTATTGTCTGTACTTCAATAACCGTCAAAAACATGCAAATAATAATACTTTGATTACTGAGCAAAAAATAATTAACGAATCCGATTGGTTGAAATAAGGACTACAGAAAAAAGTTTATTTTATAATGAGTTTTATAATATTTTATAACATAATATTTTATGACATAATGACTTTTGAAAATTTCACGCTGATCCAATCACAGCTTCTGTAATTAATCCAATTTGTTTTATGTATAAAAAAAGATTTAAAAGAAATAAAAAGGAAAAGTACATAAGAAAATAATAAAAATAAACTTACACACTGTAAAAAAGAAAGCTTAACTTCGTTGCCATTTCTTTCTCTTATTTAACTATTTTTAACTTCGCTAATTTTTTAAATATTGCCAAACCGCTTTAAAGACATATTTTTGAAACATAAATCTTAATAAAAATGCAAAGAAAAAAAATATCAGAAATTTATTGGATGTGTGTGAGAGAAAACCTTTTGTTTTAATGAATTTATTTTTTAAATAAATTTATTAAATAAAGAACCCCGCACACATCTTATGGAAATGTGCCCTCGATTTAATTGGCTGAAATTGCAGTATGTTGTTGTCTTCGACGTCCCTATTATTCTTAACCTTTAGACTGCCAGGAAAGCCACTTTTATGGCTCTACACAAATCTCAAAATTCTGCGCCATGTGTTACTTATATAGAACAATTTTTGAGAAAAAAACCACTTTTTTAATGAAAAAATGCCGGCAGCCTAAAGGTTAAGAACCATCTATATGGAAAAAAGGAAATTTTCACTTGGCACTACGACTTAAAAGTAAACTGATCAAATTATAAAAATTTATAGTTTAATAACTTTTACAAGATTTTGATATGCTACACGACACTCGCAAGGACTAAGAGGTTGTTATGATATTTGCCATAGCATAGTATAAATCTTATAGTCAGTAGACAGTTATACATAGTCTTAAAAATGTCATTTAATAGACGTCATAAAGACGTCTAAAATAAGATGTCTTAAAAAAATCTTTAAAGTGTCTTCTGGAAATGTCTTTTGGAAACGTCTGAAATAACCCAGACGGCACAAATGTCCTAAATCGAGTCAAAAGACGTCTTTAAGACGTCTTTAAGACATCTTTAAGACATCTTTAAGACAATACCTTCCTAGGTAGCAAGGTGACGTCAAAAGACGTCATTTAGACGTCTATGATGTCTTAATGACATCTTAATGACGTCTTTTGACGTTATCTTGCTACCTGGGTTATAAACTTACCTTAAAGATGTCTTAAAGATGTTTTAAAGACGTGTTATGACCCGATTTTGGACATTGTGCTGTCTGGGAAGATATTTTTAAGACGTCTTTAAGGTGTCTTTTGGGTAATGTCTTAAAGACATTTGAAATAAGACGTCTTTCAGACGACTTTTGGTAATATCATAAAAACGTTTTTTAGACATGCGTGTTGTGTGGACACCAATTACATAATTATTACAGATAATTATTTTGCTGTGCGATTGTACAGTTGTTATGTTTTCTGAAAGCAGTTAATACTACAACTGCTCACTGAACGTTCAGAAAGCTGATTGGTATATATTTAAATGGTATTTTTAAATGAAAAAAAAAGGATATATTAATCAAGAGTTTAGTGAACGTACGAAATGCTCGCTTTGGTTATATTTAACGAATACAATAATTGTGCAACTATAAAAATTATCTCTGATTGATATACTTTTAGATCTATCAATCACATCTATCTTCCACAAATCGATCGGCCAACTGTTTTTTGAACGCTATCATTGTATTATTGTTGTATTATATTATGTTATTATTATTTATCATTATGTTTTGTCGTTATTTGTGTTAATAAATATTAATGAATATTATTTTTAGGGTTGCGTAAATGCCTTAAATTTTAATCAAAAGGGGAACTTATTAGCAAGTGGCTCTGATGATTTGGCGGTTGTTATCTGGGATTGGGCTAGAGGAAAAAAGCGACATTGGTTAGAAAGCGGCCACTGTAGTAATATGTTTCAAGTATGTATGATTTTATACAGAGCGTCACATTTTATTTTGGACACTTAAATATAATTAAATATGTTTCAATATACTGAGATACCAAGAGATGGTAATGTCTCGCGCCAAGTTTACTTACAAAGCAAGGTCGGCCGTGTATACTAGTTGAGAGAAAGCACGATTATCATATCGCCGTAACGGCTGATTCGATTGAGTTTTAAGTGGGCTCTATCAATTCCCCTCAGAGTCCAATTACACAAAATTGCGATTATTTTTTTACCCATACGTTTTATGAATAGAGATATTCCAACTCCAGTAAATTTATATGTATTTTAATACAACTAGAAACTGGGAAAAATGTATTTTTGAGTTTACTCAGTTTTACTCTTTTTTTTGCCACACTTCATATTTATTGAAGATGTTTTGAAATGGACAAAAATATTTTGTATATATCTAAAAATATTAGATTTTGATGTTTATGTATAAAACATTGCTTTTAATACGGTATTTTTTGTTTTCTTATTGGTGTAATGTCTTAATATTTTTGCAAAAATTATTAGTTAGCTTAACTTCCTGATATCACTTCTTTTACAGAAGATACAAGTTTAAATATAACGATATATTTTAATATTTTAATTTTATTTGGATGACGAAGCACATACACTTGGCGCTCTTTTATTCTTTTTTTAAAATTATTGAAATGTACTGTATCAGGACAAAGTGTACAAAATATCTCGGTATTTATTTTTCGATGATTTCACTTCAGTACTTTTACACGTAGAATGACGCAGAATAGTTTATTTATATTAAAGAAAATCATTTAATTTTATTTAAAAAATCAAAGTCAACTTTTAAATAATATATAAAAAAAATATTTTTTTTATATATTATAATAGCATCATCAAATTTTATGTTTCGATATTTTACAATTTTTGTTCCAAATGTTTTCTCAAAAAATTTTACCTTTTCGAAATATTTAAGTGTCAAAAATAATATGGTAGACCCTATATATAGGGTGTCCCGCCACTACCGCATTATCTTTCAAAGACGGATTCCTGAGGTAATTTGAATAAAAAAATCCTAATGCAAAAATGTCGAGGCTATAATACTTTTCAAATTATAAATAATTAAAGTTTACCAATTATACTGGTTAAAGTACACGCGCTCAGGTACGATACAACATACAATGGTACAGGGCCTTTATTCTTATACGTAAGTTTTACTGCGCAGGTTTAATCATACCATAAAATAGCTGCGCAATGAAAATTACGTACGCAAAAATTTCAAGAATATGGGCCTAGGGCCTAGGTGCATGTACATAAGAGAGAATTTGCATAAAATATGAAATTAGTTGTAAATCCCTCAGAGAAACGTCAAATGTGTGACAGCTTATTAGGATTCTCATAAATATATTATGTGATATTTTATTTATAACATTTTGACGAAATTGTTATTATTTGCGATGTTTATTTAAATGATAGAAAAGGCATTATTACATATATTGTTGTATGTATAGAATTTCCGTATCAATATTTGGAAAAGGAATGACATGTGCATGCACTTGTACCATTGTGTGTTGTATCGTACCTGAGCGCGCGTACTTTAGCCAGTATAATTGATCAAATTTAAACGTTTATAATTTGAAAAGTATTATAGCCTCGCCATTTTTGTATTAGGATTTTTTTATTTAAATTACCTCAGGAATCCGTCCTTAAGAGATAATGCGGTAGTGACGGGACACCTTGTAGATACATAACGATAATATATTGGTGAAATATATTTTTTAAGATTAAGATATATTCTTATTTCTTCAGTAATTATTTCAAGTATCACTATATTTACTTATTATTAACTTCGTTTACTTAATTACGCACATTTAGGCGAAATGGTTACCGTTCGACATGGAATACCTTATGGTAACTTGTGGCAGAGATGGTCAGGTACGTCTATTAGATCTTAGACATGAAACATCGAGGAGAATAGCAACACATCATGGAGCATCACATAAATTGGCTGTGCACAATGAGACACCTCATGTAATTATTTCTGTGGGGGAAGATGCGAAGGTATTATCGATAGATATCCGAGAGCGTAAACCAAGCAAGTAAGTATCGCCTGTAATATTATTAAAAGAGCCAAGAACTGTGTCTTTGTGTTTTCTGTACTTCACGTCCGACAACTTATTTTGTATATCGTGCAGTACATAAATAGAGAAAGTATTAATTCTCCATATAATAAACAAATTTTTACTTCTCCAGATTGCTGGTGGTAAAAGAAGATATTGCAGAGGTGCAATTGTACAGTGTACATTCTAATCCCTTTAATAGTAACGAATTTTGTGTCGCCGGCCGTTCCCATTACGTGAGGGTATACGATCAACGAAAAGTTTCGACGCCTCTTTATAAATTATGTCCTGATCACCTGGTATGTTACATTGGAATTTTGCAGTTTTGAATGATCGATAATTGATAGTGCGAATTCGATTTGATGCGCATTAACGCGCCTATAGGATTTTGTGTTTTCGATCTGAACTTATGTCCTACTTGGTTCAGAATTTCATAATTGTATAATTCTGCACAAGTTCAGCGTTATTTTGTCTCATTGCTACGCTAATTTAGCGCTATGTTGTGTGTGTACGTGTGCGTGCGCGCGCGCGCATGTGTGTATGTCAAGATAATCCGTGTTAGTCCAATGATTAGTTTGTGATGGTGTTATATAGAAATAGTGATCTTTCTTTCTTCGTGTCTATTATAAACAATGAATAGTTCTATGATCAGTCATCAGTCATATATAAAAGTTATGTCAACACCCACACATCTTGAATTCTCATTTATAATCTTTTTTATATATTTTTTTATTGATATATTTATTTTATTTGTTGGTTATTACTTATATTTTTTTGTGTTCGTCTGTGCATTTGAAAGTCCTTGTTATTTATTGTTTAATGCTTGATAGTCTTGTTTTGCAATTATATATGTATAATTTAAATGTATATTATATTTTAGACGGAGAATAAGTACGCCCATGTGACGTGCGCTGTATATAACTATAATGGAACCGAAATCCTCGCATCATATAACGATGAAGATATATATCTATTTGATAGATTGATGTCCCCGTGCGTGGATTATGCGCACAGATATCAAGGTCACCGCAACAATGCAACCGGTATGATACATGTTGCAACATATTTTACGTCAGTATACTGTATTTGGCAGTATATTTTATTTATATATATATATATATATATATTTCATTTGTATAAATGTTTTAATTAACTTTTATATTTTAACTACATTTATATATAACGATTCTATATCGGTATCTTTTCTGAAGCTCAGTTTCTTCTTTGGGTCTTGTGGTTTGCAAACGCTTTAATCATTACAATATATTGGCATCACATATTTTGCGTCATATATCACTTGTTTCTCGATTACAGTGAAGGGTGTGAACTTTTTCGGGCCTAAAAGCGAATATGTTATATCGGGGTCCGATTGTGGCAACATATTTATTTGGGATAAAAACACGGAGGCTGTTGTGCAATGGATGAAAGGCGATGAACAAGGAGTTGTGAGTGTTTATTTAACGAATTAGACCTTTTTTTATTTCTTTGTTTTTTAAATATTGTAATTTAAAAATATTTAAATATAAAAGAATATGCAGATTTTTTGCAATAAGACAGAATAACGCAATAATCGTAATTAATATCTTTCTTTTCTGTTGAATAGGTAAATTGCTTAGAAGGCCACCCGCATATTCCAGTTCTTGCGACAAGTGGCTTGGATTATAATGTCAAAATATGGATTCCCTGGGACGAAGGATCTCCGAAGATGGGAGATTTCGCTAAGGTATGTATAAGGAGATACGATCGTTTCAAATTTTAAGTTAAATAACATATGATCGATTGTGTCGTATTTTACATTATCACTTTAATTGTTAAATAACATATGACAGATCGATTGTGTCATATTTTGCGCATTGTCGCTTTAAATGTTATATGAAAAATAGTCGAAAAATACGATTCATCCCAGCTCACACTCATTTACTTGTTTATTTATTTAAATGTATTATTTAAACGCTTATTTATTTAAACGTATTAAACTTATTTATCTTTGTTTCATCAGTGCGTTAAAAAGAACGCGAGAAACAGGAAGCGTGAAAACGAGCCCGATGCATTCGACGGCCAAATGCTTTGGATCTTACTTAGGCATATCCGTGACACAGAATCAGCGCGAGTAAGTAATAAATAGAATATCCCACAAATATCGTGATCTTCAATTAGATTTCGATCATTTTATTTTGACGATTCGAAATTGTTTTCTTCTTGTTTTACTATCGTTCTCTTTCCTAGCATCGTTTCGGACGTTATGATACTCCAGATGAAGACAGCGATGATGAGGATGATTATGTATCGGATGGCTCCTCGAATGACAATTCATGGGAAACCGATTCGGAAGGTGATGATATCGAAAGATTACAGTGCCCTCCATCTTAAAGCTGTTGACGCGATTTGCTATTATTGTGATGGAATAAGTTGCATAGCGTTAGGAGAATTCATTAGTCGTTTTGCAAATTATGATGAATTTTATGAAGTATAATTATATAGCAGAGTGTATAGAGAGAGAGAGAGAGAGAGAGAGAGAGAGAGGGAGAGAGAGAGAGAACGAATGTGTAGGATCTTGTCGCAAAAGTCCTGCACTCTATATCATTAATCTTTTTTATCAGCTCGAGATAATTAGTAGTGTAAACTACGTATATTTAAGCGGTTTACGGTTGCATTGTAATTTTTGAATATACGTTGAACAGATCTATAAAGACTGCAATATTGATAGGCTGTATAATATTTAGATAAAAGGAAAAACAAAAAAAGAGCATAGTATTTTATAATAGTCGTATAAGACAAATTGTAAAACCGGCGTTTTCTTTTCCCCACGTATTTAAAGATACTGATTGTTACAATTAACATCCTTACATAAATAGGATTGTTTCTTTTTTTAATTTCGTTGATATATCGATGTATATTTAATCGATAATATTAATTGTATTTCTAAGAATATGATTAATCTTAATGTGATAAAAAGATATGTTGTTACGTTGTTTCGATGGTTTAGTTGTATCAATACATAATATATTTAAAAATGTTTCGCATAGCTTATTTAAAAATACATCCGATATTTTGTGCTCAAACATTATTTTCTGATGTAACAAATGTTGAAACTTTCATTGTCAGTTTAGTCAGACAGCTTAATCATGATCGGAAACATTTGTAAATTAATGATTATAACATTCTTCCTCAATGACTTTTAATATAGATCTTTAAATTCAATAAGAAAATATATCTCATGAAACCTTACTAAAAAACAATTTTATTGTGTAGGATGCATTGTAAAATTTGACAAGGAAAAGTATTGTAATCTTTGCAAGTAGTTTTGGTTTAGATAGCCAAAAAATAGTTTTTACGAATTTTTTTCAAAGAAATGAATAATATGTGACATTATTGTAGAAATTTATCATTGTTTTAAGAATAGAAGAATTATTTTTAAAAAATTGAAATTGTTTTTTTTTTACTGAGCGTAGTCTTGTCAAAGGTTTCTAATTGATAACAATATTACAACTTGTATAAAGATCTGAAACAAATGACAAACTATAAATTTACTGGAGGATAAATCTAAATATCTTTTAGTATCTTTCCGAAGACATTGAATAAAAAAAGAGGAAAAATAACAATTTCAGTGTGTTATTTTGTTAAACTTCGATTTTCTGAGATTTATGCTCCAGTAAATTGAATATAGGTTTCAAATTTTTTTGTTTTATTTATTTCAGATTATTTTCAGATTTATTTCAGATTTACTACAGATTAGACGAGCTGTAATGTCTATCAGTTAGAGGCATTCGGCGACCCCACGTTCGGCACAAAAAACCTAGATGATGAAAAATTTCAATTCTTTTTTAAGTAAAAAATAACCATTTGTACTTAAAACAATTATAAATGGTATGATAAAAATTCTATATATCTTTATTTATTTGAGAAAAAAAACTTATTTTTTTCGAAGCTATCTAATCTATCTAAATCTATCTAATCTATCTAGGTTGCATTCCAAAACATTCTTTTTAAGGAAAATTTTACTCAATACCTATAGTTCACGTTACATATACTATAGAGTATCGAGTAAAATTTCCTCAAAAGACGTTTTGCAACGCAACTCTAAAGTAGAATATATATCTCTCCTTAAACATCTGACTACTGTTTGATCTTTTACTTTGTGTGTGTTTCCAAACAAATAGTCAAAGTTTCCGACACGTCAGAGATTACGTATCATCGAACGATACAATTATTTGTATTTTAACGAACAAGTTGAACTTTGCGTTTCACGAGACGAGACGTATCGTGTCCTTTCCTTTGGGACACTGCGTAAATGTTTATTCTCGCCATCTAGCGGCTCATTCGGCGATCGCGAGCTCCGCACCAGCACCAATGGGACACGTCGTCCGTCCTCCTGCCTTCGTCTGTTCGGTTGGTTCTTGACATACGCGCAGAAATATCACTGACGTGTCTCCGAGGATCCACACTACGTGCGTGCACACGTACGTTTGTTAGCTGCGTGATAATTTCACTTGACGCGCAGGCCGACGAAATACCGCCAGTCATTCGTAGGCATTGAGCTGTGACGTATCGTGTGTGTGTCGATCGCCGAGATTGCCGAATAACAAAATTATGGCAGGTGCGGTGTTCAACAACTTCGTCAACTCCTTCAGCCGTTCACTGTGAGTATGGGTTCGCGATATGCGCTACAAATAGCCCCTTCGTGTTCCCGAGAGATAGAAAAGTAGAGGAAAAAGCAAACGGTCGTTCGTTCGCTTGCTTCGAAGTACATTTACGCGACCTTTTTTTCGTTTTCTCTTTCTCTCTGTCTGTTTCGCACTCTTTCTTTTTCTTTCGCTCTTAAATTAGTGTTATTTACTCGTGATGTAATTCTCGTGTCATATCGACACAATGTCCCAAAATCTTGCAATATCTCTCTCTCCCTCCCTTCCTCCTTCCCTCTCTGCATTTTTCTCTTTCTCTCCGCCCCCTCACGTCTTACCCGAAGATGTTTATCATGGCTACGCGATATATACGTGCGTCACGTATTCACACTCGCGGCGACCTTCGGCTTCCTTGATGCGCATTCTGGAAACAAGCGGTCACCTTCTTTAGCTTTCTGCGCCCTCCATAAGCCGAACACGGCGCAATTTGTTCGACGCGCGATGTTGAGAATTCGCATCGCGATGCTCGGTTTCCCGTGCGGGAGGGATCAATTCCGAATTCGTCGCTGTCTGTCGTCGAGGCTCAACCTCGTTGGAGCCCGACACCCGATATAGCGCTTTCCGAAATCCATAAGATACTTGTTTTTTTCTTCCGGTCGCGCCGTGCCGCACTTTCTCTACGTGTGATAAAAGGTGTACGGGATATCTTTCAGATCGATCGCGTCTCCCCTAACGTGCTGATTTAAACCGGCGTCCGATTTCGAGTAGTTGCGCGAATTTCCTCATTTCGCGTTGACGCCCGATACGGAAATTCAACAATCGCGCACAGAATGTTTGCCGAACGATCAAGTTGTCGCGTTTGTTAATTTATGGCGGGAGAGAGAAGAGAGGAAATGACGCGTTAGAAATTTTCCGGCCTCGAGAATATTATCCGTTAGAAATGGATCGATTAGAAATCTCTCGATCTCGCGTTTCTTGCGCGAATACTCAGGCGACCCGAACGGTCGATCTTTGTCCTATCTCTCCTCTTTTATATTTATGTTGCTATAAAACTAGCCAATGTTGATCCAAATAAGCAAAATATTAGCAGTTTGCTGGCAGATTCGGTTGATATACCGTGGTACAAGTTATAGCTATCTCTCAGATAAGGGAATTCTATAAATAGGAATGTTCTATGCATATTCTTTACGAATATTTGTATAATCTACAAATGTACTAAAGGTTGTATATTCATAATATATTCGAATGACACAACTATAAGTTCTGTAATAATGCACAGAACATTTACATAGTGCAAGTTAATCATTGCATGAGTTCAGCAAAAAAAAGCGATCAGTGGAAAATCAGTGATTTAGTTTTTACTGTTAGATCCTTAAAGCTAGACTAATTACATTGACTCAACCATTATGCAACCATTGTGTTCTTTTACTTACTGATTTTGCGTTTACAATAATAAAGGAATAATTTAAATGTCTCATTTTAGTAGATACTTTTAGTTAAGCTATAATAAATACATATTACACAATTTGAAAAATTTCTCAATTACATGAATGCAGTGCATATGTACAGCAAATAAATTGTACAATTCTAAGAACATTCTTTTTTATTATAAATACACGAGTTTCTGTTTACAATATTGTACATATATTTGAATATTTTGAAATTAAGAACATTTGTATTTTATAGGAATACATACAGAATATTTTGTGCTATCTGAAATCTGTGATTGCATTAAGTTCGTGTTCTGTTCATAAAGATTATTGATATAACTTAACAGTATTTATATCCCATTTAAATATATTCAAACAGATACTTAGTTTCTTTTGTTAATCTGTCATCATATTAGCAGATTCTGTTGTATTTTTGATAACAAGCTGACATAAAATTTACAGCAGAGACTGCAAAATCTGCTTCTGTAAATTTAGCTATCTAGAATACTAGTTTTATTGCAATTTCATTTAGTTGGTCAACTAATGTTTGTCAATTAGAACTTGATTTGAGTTTTATACCAAGGTAAAGGCATAGTATAAAACTCAATCTTTGAATAATTTTCTAAAACTATAAAATTTTTCAGAAAATGCGATAAGAAAAATCGATTTAAAAAATGTTATCTTTGAAATATCTGATTGAAGAGAAGAGTAGAAATAAAATGACTCAATTTGACAGTAGCTTTTACTCGATAAATTATGGTAAATTATGATAATTTCGAAAAGCTGATAAAATTTAGAAAAAATTACCGAAATAAAAAAGTTTTGATATAAAACTCAAAAGAAACATTTAACTTTTAAGACGAGTAAAACACTTTATTTAACTCACATTTTCCATAAAATATTTTTTATACTGTATTAAGTGCTTGCAAAAGTTCATATGATAAAGCCATTTTTATTTATTAATAACGATGAATTTTAATAACATTAATATTTTAATCAAAATATTGGCCTCGTTGCTATATAATAATGCTATCAATAACGTTTAGCATCTTCCAGACAATAGTTTGATAAAACTATTGCCCGCCGATGACTCATCTTTTAAAACAACCAATTCATCGACTCATTTTCACACTTCTTCGGTATTTTGAAACAGTATTTCAAATAGACCGTGCTGCATTAATCTGAATAGATGAAAATCAGATAGGACAATGTCCGGAGAGTACGTTGGATGCGGCAGGATTTCTCAATTTAACTCGAACAATGTCATTTTAATCGCAACAGCAACATGCAGGCTGGCATTGTCGTGAAGCAAGTTGACTTTGTGTCGATTTCCGGCTATTTGAGGGTGTTTTTCCTTCATTACTTGATTTAAACATCATAATTATCGCGATCTCCTGACTGTTTGCCCCTGTAGTAATAGTAATAATAGTAAGTCATAGTAAGCACTTTCCTTGGTTCCATCAGATACACAGGAAAACCTTATGATCGTGTTGCATTTTATTGTGGATGATTAGACGTGACCAACCCATGGCTTTTTATGTTTAGGATTATGTATGCACTTTTTATCACCCGTAACTATATATGCTACAAAAACTCTTTTTTGTGCCCAGAAAACAATGAGAGGCAGATGATAAACTGGCTCGCAATTGCGTTTTTTCCTTTCTGGATTTTTTCTATTGCCTTCAAATCATGAGATACTGTTAATTTATCAATTCCAAACTGCCCTGCAAGCTCTTTTAATATTCGGGCTGAGTTTTCACTGAGCAATGCTTTCAGTTCGTTGTTCTCCATCTCGTTCGGGCGACCAAAACTGATTTGTTGTTGACATCGTAATCATCATTTCTAATTTACTACGAAAAAACAAGAGAATATTCTTTTTCATTTTAATTCTAAATCTTTTAAACTACTTCTCACAGACAACAGCAAGCACAATATTTTTTCCGTAAATCTCATAAATCAGTCTTAGTTGTTGCAGTAGTTTCACCTCAATTAAAGCAGTAAGTGCAATAGTAAATATGAATTAGTTCCATCTTTAATCGCGTTAAATGTAACGTTTTATTGGTCAACATTGAAAAACTAAAAAGCAACTTAAAGAAAAACAATTTCTAAGTCGCTGCTACTGCCATCTACTTGTGACCTTACAAACTTTTACAAGCACTTAATGTATTGATATGCTATATATAGTATCGAGAGAATTTTACGTACATAGTATAACATAGTATAACTAAAGAAATTTTAAAAAATTGTTTTATTAGGATTTCCAAAACAAAAGGTGTAGCAGGTGTAGTACAATCTATATTTTTCATACCTTAGTTATAGGTTTTGAATATTTCATTTATTATCTTTCTATTTTAGTGACTAAACTATGTGTGATTTACACACACACACACACACACACACACACACACACACACACACACACACACACACACACACACACACACACACACACACACACACACACACACACACACACACACACGCACGCACGCACGCACGCTGTAAAAACCATACCTTTGAGCCAACATAAGCAATAACATATCTTTCTCTTCCGCCTAACTGACGATGATGTTGTTTGCAGGGATTCATCAGTTAAACAGCATCTGAAGAATGTCTATGGTTGCCTGTCCCTGTCCACAGTGTCAGCAGCTGTGGGAACTTATGTGCATATGAATACACAACTCCTGCAAGCCAATCTGTTGACTACCATTGGATCCTTGGGTCTCCTTATTCTGTTGATGTCGACGCCTGACAATGGCAAAAATCAAAAGTTACGCCTTAGTTACCTCCTGGGATTCACATTTTTATCAGGACTCGGACTGGGACCTTTGCTTGAGTTGGTGATCAGCATAGACCCGAGTATAGTTGTAACAGCGTTAGTCGGTGAGCCACTCTTCTTTTCGTCTTCTCCCTCTCTCGCTAACATAACAACCAAAACTAGGGAATCTATTTGTTTTCTTATAGACTCCTGTGCTATATCATTTTAATAGCAATATTTAGGTTTTAAAACGTGATAATATTTGTGAGATGTGCTGCCAATCATGTTTCTGAAAAACAGACAGCAATGTACAGAGTGTCGCATCTCGTGACATAGAATAATTTTTATCAAACTTTGATTAGAAATTTATTAAAATGTAGAGAAACTAATTTCAAGATGGTATAAATGTGACGTAAATGTGATATCTGTCAATTTTATGACAAGATTTCTTTTTTTTTTAGTACAATTTTTTGGTAAATATTCACAGTAATGTTTGTTATATTTTGCATCGGCAATGTTCAAATTAAGAATTTAAACGTACACATATGTATCAGTATGAAGATTAAATTAATCGATGATTGGCAGAATTATCAATAGCGCTTTCTAACTATATAATTTCTTGTTCAATATAAACAGAAGATTGACAATTCTATTGATATCAGTAAAGTGGACTAGTAATCATTACTTTTAACTGATAACAATTTTAAATATAGATTATAAAGGTGACAAAAGAATCTGTTTTGACTGAATTACTACGAAGAAACAAGAGAACATTCTTTTTCATTTTAATAACATACTATGTTTTATTTTACATGCTGACAATTTTGTTAATTTGATTAGTCATCGACTAATTGATGAGTTTGATAAATCCTTATCACCTTAACTTAAGTAAAGATAATCTAAGAATTTAGAAAACGGCAAAACATAAGAAAATCGTTTCTGCGCGAGTTTTATCGTTTTAAGTTTCGCTTATTAGTGTCGATGACAGTTAAAATATTTTGTCATCAATAGTAAATGAATAAATAAATAATAATTACAGGTACGACGGTCATCTTCGTTTCCTTCAGTATTTCCGCGCTGTTAGCTGAACGTGGACGATGGTTATATCTTGGTGGTACTTTAATGAGCATGCTGAACATCATGATTTTGTTCTCCTTGGCAAATCTGTTCCTGCGCTCGTATTTAATCTATCAGGCGCACTTATACATAGGATTCTTCGTGATTTGCGGCTTTATCATCTACGATACGCAGTTGATAATTGAGAAACATCGTATGGGCAGCAGAGATTTTATCATGCATTCCTTGGATCTGTTCATAGATTTCGTAGGCGTTTTCCGACATCTTCTTGTAATCCTTACGCAAAAGGTAAGTCGATAAATCGTCAATATTCTTAATGTCTATCACTTTTTGCAAATGTATCTCAGAATTGCCATGTCATTCTTCGTGTAGACGTTAAAGCGTTATCTTAACTACAGAAAAAGACACTTAACCAGTACGATCTTCAAGATATGCGTGTTAACTTTTAGATTACGAATATAAGTGCTTTTGCCGTCTCTCTCTCTCTCTCGCTCGCTCGCGTAATATCTTAATTATAAAATAATCTAGAGACGCATAATACAAAATACAAAAATACCAAATAACCGGAAAATATTTCTAATGTTTGTATTTTTTTTATTTTAGGAATTGGCTAAGGAATCACGTAAGCGTAAAGATTGAATGAACGAATGGTGGGATGAGGGATGGTTATGGCGTATTCAAGTAAATCCATAAACTAGAGGTCTTCATGTAATCTATCCATACCTAGGTATCTGTGTATATATACATACCGGAGAATTATACAAGTATCTATATACCACGTCTCATACCACATATATACGCATACATCTCTTTAGTAAACGATATACGACGAGACTATATAAATATATTTACTGTAATAAAAATGGAAAAATGTTAGAGATGCGGTCTGTTTACTCGTAAAGAAATCGGCTCCCTGCATCCGATTACAGAGACAAGTCGTAATTTATTTTGGTCATATTTTTGAGTTATAATTCTCCATCGGATTTGTATGCGTGGATGTGCGACGCGCGTGCACTTGATACATACACACACCCATATAACATAAATTAAGTGTATTATATTTTCGACTTTCAATAAATGAATTTTCCCAAAGTTTTCTTCTTATCTTGCGTAGATGTTAAGACAGTAAAAAATAAATAATCGTATACTTTACAGAACTTAAAAAATCATCCTTATTATCATCTATTAAAACTCGAATACTTATTGATCTTTTATTTGGTAATGAAAGACACGAGAAAAATCACTTAAAATTCTTGCCAAATATTAAATATAAGCATACCTCTGAAATATTCCAAATATTTTTCTTTCGCATTAACAATTAACAAATAATCATAAAATTAACGTGATACCTTCTTTTTAACAATTTTCTCATTATTCTGTCATATTAATTTTACGGTTACTTATTGATTGTTAAAATAAAATGAAAGAGTACAGAGAGAGAGAGAGAGAGAGAGAGAGAGAGAGAGAGAGAGAGAGAGAGAGAATATTTTAGAAGTGTAATTGATCGCAAGTGTTATTTTGTGGATATATCTTTTTATCTTAATGAATTTCGCAAGAATTTTTAGCATGCGTTTTCTCGCTTCTGGGCCCTTATTCTTGAAATGGTTGTCTATATGTAAGTTTTACTGCGCAGTAAAACACGTATATGTAACTATTTCAAGGCTAAGGCCCTTATGTCATTAAAAAAGATGAGTGATGCGAGTATCCAGGAACCTTAATTAAGATATTCGCGACGAGTTATCAAAAGTTTTAGGATCCTTAGTCTCTCGCCACAGAACTCTTGATTGACGATATTAAAAAGGAAAAAATGTCCAAAATTGTTTATTATTTTCAAATAAAAATGACGTTTCTATAAAGGTCGTTCTACATTAGTTGCAAACAGCCAATCGCATGATCGCAAGCAACACTATTTCTGATTGTAAGCTAGTCGCAAGCAATAATCGCAAGGTTTGCCAAAGTCCAAAGTTTGCGTGTCTGCAATCAATCAGTGTCGAGCTCCGCATATATAGATTTATAGCGTCAATTTTACCTGTCTGTTCTTGTTTGTTCGCTTCCATATTTAAACGTAAGTATTACTTTGCATGTTTATCTTGACGTTGATTCCTTTTTCCTGTGACAGAGTTTTATAGATGCTAATGAAACATTTTCGTCACTGATTGGCTGTGACATGTAACCAACGATTGAAATGTAGAGCTCATATCGCAAGAGTTTTGCGATAATGCGATCTTGCGATTGACTACTTGTAACTAATGTAGAACAACCTTAAGAGAATAGGTGCGTTCAGTGAACTCAACAGTTGCACAACAGTTGAGCAATTCGTCAATGTAATTGACATTTTTATAGAAAGTGTTACATTTATTCCTCACGTGCGCGATCGCGAGTGCAAGTATGCAACATTTTGGGGGCTCGTTCGGGATCCGATTATTTGTGATCCGACGGATTGAGATTCGGCGTCCGACAAAATGCGAAATGAAAGTGATAATGCAAAGAAAGGAAAGAATGCTGCATTCGCCAATAGTTACGCGCAATGTAATTGGTTTAGATTTAAGGATCTAACAGTAAAAACCAATAATCGCTGATTACTCACTGAGCGCTTTTTCCGCTGAACGAGCCCATTAATCGAGATTGCTTAAGCATACGTGTAAAATGCTCCGAAAACTATCCTTTTTTCTTGATAATAAATTGCCACAAAATTAACGTGACATGTAAACTTTTTCTTTGATCTTATTTACCTTTTCTCATAATGTTCTTTTACTCAAATATCGTTTTATTTAAAAATAGCACGAAGAATTTTTAATGTGCCATTTTTCGCCTTTGACGTTATGATCTAACGCGTTGTCCCTGCGAGTAATCAGAAATTTGAAAGATTTAATTTTATAGTATTAATTTTATAATAGTAAAAATCATAAAATTCGTTTAAATAAACTCCCAAAACTTTTCTTTTATTTCATATGAATGTCAAGACGGGGTAATGAGTAAATAAAATAAGAATCCTTGTAGCATGCCATACGCGCGCGCGCGACGTCACAAATTCAACATGGCCGCGGCAAGGTATAAGAGCCCATATTCTTGAAATTTTTGCGTATACGTAATTTTCATTGCGCAGCTATTTTATGGTATGATTAAACCTGCGCAGTAAAACTTATATATACGCAACTATTTCAAGAATAAGGGCCGGAGTCTTAAGGGGATGCTGAAGCTGAAAACTTTACCGACAGAACACTGACATTTTTCGTCATAGTTTACGTCGTATTGGTTACACAGAATTACAAATGCTTTTACGTAATGAAAGTACGTGCAAAAATAAATAGGAGCATTGCTCGATATGTCGAAAACGAACAAAAAATTTTTAATGTAAAGTCTCAAGCTGTCAGCGTAATACTTGTCTAATCCAAAAATTCCGCAGCTTGTACATACCGAAAGTGTGGATCCTCCAAACAGAAAATTTTTTAAGAAGATTGCTCTACCTTCGCATGTGCATTTGTAAGCTTAAAAATATCGAAGAAGTTTGCAGAAAGATTTCTACACATATATATGGTTAAGTTTTTTATTGAATATGGTAAAACAAAACAACATATATTCATATAAATTCTGTATATATAAGAAATACGAAAAGGATAGCGTGATTATGTTAGTGACGATCGTCTCTGCATTATTGACGTTGTTCGAGTTCGTCATCGACTCCAGCATCCCTTGCCGAACTTGCTAAGCTTCGATAACGTAGAGGCGATCGTCAAAAAGTAGAAAACGTTATCATTATTTATCGACGTTACCGATTTTATGTATATATCGATACATATAGATATTTATCAAGACGATCGTCAAATAGGCGCTGACATAATGCTGCTATTTTCTTTTTTTCATATATGCATCATTTCTACATATAGATATATGAATGTAAGTGTGTGTGCTACGTTGTCATTTCAATTTTGTTATACATAGACGTTACGTAAATATGAATGCTACGTTGTCGATATTCGCATTCTCTCCGAAATAGGCTTTCGCTGCTTTTCTGATGAATTCTTCAAACCGCTTGTGTACTGGGTGAATCAAAGAGTTTTTTAGAGAAGTATGTTGTACGCATAAATGCAGTTTACGAATATTGTTTTGAAGAATATGTTATTTAATATGTAAGCTTTCTATATAATTTTCAATTGAAATAAAAATTCAATATTTCACTATATATTCGCACCTAATTTTATCATATAAATTGGTGCAGTAATTGCGCTGTAATTTTTGCAAAAGGAAATCAGTGTCACGATAGCAATAGTTCTACATCATTTTCATTTCTGAGTGAGGAATGATCTACTTTATTTTTGCATGTACTTTCACCATACAAAAGCATTTTCGGTCAAGTCAATACAAAGTAATATTTGTAGCAAAATTTCGTTGACGTGATATCGACACCCTTGCAAAACTTTCGTCGTGCTGATTATACTAAATCAAAAACCCTCTGACATGGTGAAAGTACGTGCAAAAATAAAGTGAGGTATTCCTCAATATGAGAGGAAAATGATAAGAAAATGCTATCATAACAAAATTACCGAATTCTTCTGCAAAGATTATTTCTTTCTACATGCGCCGAATTAAAAACTTTTTGCATGGTGAAAGTACGTGCAAAAATAAAGTGAGGTATTCCTCAATATGAGAGGAAAATGATAAGAAAATGCTATCATAACAAAATTACCGAATTCTTCTGCAAAGATTATTTCTTTCTACATGCGCCGAATTAAAAACTTTTTGCATGGTGAAAGTACGTGCAAAAATAAAGTGAGGTATTCCTCAATATGAGAGGAAAATGATAAGAAAATGCTATCATAACAAAATTACCGAATTCTTCTGCAAAGATTATTTCTTTCTACATGCGCCGAATTAAAAACTTTTTGCATGGTGAAAGTACGTGCGAAAATGAAGCGGGACACTCCTCAATATGAGAGAAAAACGATAAGGGACATTTACTATCATGATACTGAATCTTTCTGCAAAGATTAGTTCTTCCTACATGCGTTGACTTGACCGGATTAAAAATGCTTTTGTAGTGAAAGTACATGCAATAATTAAATAGAGCATTCTTCACTCAGGGATGAAAACGATGTAGAACTATTGCTATCGTGACACTGATTTCCTTTTGCAAAAATTACAGCGTAATTACTGCACCAATTTATATGATAAAATTAGATGCGAATATATAGTGAAATATTGAATTTTAATTTCAATTGAAAATTATATAGAAAGCTCACATATTATATAACATATTCTTCAAAACATTATTCGTAAATTACTCTAATGCGTATAACATATTTCTTGAAAAAACTCTTTCTTTGATGCACCTGAGAGAAAATGTATGATATTTACTAAACGGCATAGTAAAAAGATTATAGTTAGGAATATAATTTTTATAATGTTACCATAATATTTGTAATATTTACAATATAAGCATAGTATAACTGACTTGTGTAACATTTTTACCAAAAATTATAATTATTTGAAATAAAAATATAGTAAGATGGCAAATATTGAATGGTAAGAGAAATTAACTATTTTATATAGTCAATACAATTGGAATATTTGGCAAATATAAGTACATGTAACTATATTCCCAAAAGGTGCTTTACCATATATATAGAGTAATAAGATGGTGACTATAAATCTGTGTTCATTCTACTATATCTTTATGTTTAGATGAACTATAAATATATGTTTGAGGCCAAAACGAACTATAAAATATAGTGAGATTATAGTTATTCCAACTATTTTTTTCTCTCAGTGCAGTACATAAGCGGTTTGAAGAATTCATCAGAATAGCAGCGAAAGGCTTTCTTCGATAGAATGCGAATATCGGCAACGTGATATTTACATTTACGTTCTATGTGTGAGAAAATTGAAATGACAACGTAGCACACATACTTGCATAACATCTGTAAAGGGACGATATATAAAAAAATATTGCAACGGTAGCGCGAACATGTTCACGCTTATCAAATGTGACATTTTGACGATTGCTTCGTTCCGTATAGATATACGAGTATATAGCTAGCTCAAGATGTGCTTTCTTCCAGGACATGCGTGAACTAAAAATCAAGTCTTCTTTACCACGTAACCATTAAACGCTAGCACACATATCACTTATTACTGGAATTCTCTTTTTATTTAAACTATCTATTAAAATTCACTTACGATGTCTTCATAATGTTCCTGAAAGTCCTCTCTATGCCGCATACTATGTATTTGAAGCATATGAGCTCTAAATTTGTCATATGAAACTAAATATCGCATTTTCAATAGTAAATACAAAATTTTTTGTTGATTTCGATGCAACTTTTTAGTATGCGGCATTCATTATCGCTTATACTTTTACGCTGTAAAAGCATTTGCAGTTTTATGCATGCAATTAGAAGAAAAGAATATTCTACGAAAACGAGCCTAGCAGCATCGCCTTAATTAGTCGTATAATTCACGTAACTTAGGATCTTATTTATTGTGTATTGAAGATTTGATTTTATATGGATAGTCATAATGTGCTAACGTAACCTGAAATGATATAGATTTTCATGAATATTAAAAATTATATAAAAAATCAGGAGTAACATGATATATATATATATATATATATATATATATATATATATATATATATATGTATACATAT